TATATGTATATGTATATATATGTATATGTATATATATGTATATATATATATATAAATATATATAATATATGTATATATACACTACACCCCATTATATCGAATAACTATCGCATCCCCAATGTATGTATCACTCAATACAACCCTCTCAACTTCACCTTATCAAAAATCAACCACACCCCACTACATCCAATAACCATCTTACACCCAACGTATATATCACTTATACCATTTGTCGTATGCACCTGTTGTACAGGCCATAATCGCCGGCAATACCATCACGTTGGGGTCCACTGACTTTGCTCTGAAGCAGGCGATAGCACCACAGTTGCTGCCTTTCATTGATCCGTTTAAGTTTGAGCTTGAAGATCTGGGCGACCGGTGAGTATGGGTTTAGCGTGACTAGTTGAGTTTTTGAGTTTGCTAGTGAGTGATGTGATACAGTTGGAGTCACGTCTCGTACAATACGAGTAGCACAGCCATGTACAGTGTATCTAAACCCTAAACCCTAAAATCCTAAAACCCATCAACAATAACAATAGCACAGCCTTGCACAGTGTATCTATAGACACACAAGGTCTGAAGCACTTGCGGATCAGATGGATCACTTGCCTAACTACACTAGTCGCATGCAGCCACATTATAGCACCTGCAAACACACCACACCTTCTGGGGCAAAGTCATGTGTATATGTACATTCTGCCATACACCTCACCTCTTCACCACATCTCTTATGAATCCATGTGCGTGTACCTAATTCCAGTATATATCCGATGCACCTGCTCAATGCTATAACCGTTGTTCGTTTCGTATTGACAGAATCAAACTCTTCGAAGCCAAAGCGACGGAGAAGGTCACCTCCAAGGTGGACTACGTTCAACTTGAACAATTGACAATTGGCTCTGTTGAGGCTCGGGTATGTGCACAGAAGGCATAAGGTGTATACGTTTACAAATGCAGAGCTACGCGTATGTGTATGTGTATGTGTTGTAAACCTTTCAACACCGATTTGAAACAACTGACAATTTGCTCTGTTGAGACTCGGGTATGTGCGCAGAAGGCATAAGGTGTATACGTTTACAAATGCAGAGCTATGCGTTTGTGTATGTGTATGTGTATGTGTTGTAAACCTTTCAACACGTCTATATAAAATGTGTACATTATCCATACAAACGAAGATGTGTATACAATATACGTATACAGTACCAATAAAACACTCACCGCAACACCCCCCCAGCACGTTAAAACGAGTTACGTAAACGACAACGGCATCACCCGCATGGAACCCGTCACCATCCACGGTGACCGTATCATCGCTCACATCACACTGCAATGGTACGAACAAGCAGCGCTGCAGCTTCTAACCTTCAGCAACACATGGGAAGTGTATCTATTAGACACCTTTGTCTTACCTCATATCTTCTCGGAATGGAACCTGATAAGCCTGCCTGGGAGTGAGGGAGGTTTGCATATTACTGGGGCGTTGGTGTGTGAGGAACGGACGCAGAAGGTGGCGGCGGGTAGTCAGTTGGTGATTAAGGAGATATATGTTTCAGACGCTAAGGTGGTCGTTGAGAAGGATGAGAGTACAGGACAGTACGCGTTTGTGCTGCAGTGTGTACGCGTTGATGTGAATCCTATGGGCGATACGAGGGTAAGTTAACGGAATCGGTGCACTTTTGACCTTTCTGTATGTGTATAAATATATGTGCAGGAGTGTGTATGTGTATCTAGATTTTATGTGTAGGGGTGGGTGTATGTGTATATAGATTTATCGGTAGGGGTGTGTATATGTGTATATAGATTTATGCGTTGGAGTGTGCAAGTATATAGATTTATGTGTAGGGGTGTGTGTAAGTGTATATAAATTTATGTGTAGGGGTGTGTGTAAATATATATAGATTTATGTGTAGGGGCGCGTGTATGTGCATATAGATTTATCTGTAGGGGTGTGTAAATGTATATAGATTTATCTGTAGGGGTGTGTAAGTGCAAATATACATGATACATGATGTACTCATGCCAAGTGAAATGTCATACTGAATCGTGAGTGCACATACCTCGTTGTTGTACTGTGCGTACACCGACACGCACCAAAAGGGCGACCAGCTGTATGTGGATGTTTGTATAGGTCACATGTGACTAATACAGTTTAGGATCTAAGGTTTACGGTTTAGGGTTTACTTCAATTTAGAATATGATGATATATATATATATATATATATATATATATTATTATATATTATATATACTATATATTATATGTATCTATATATGTATT